CTCTGTTTGAAATAACGAATACACTAGGTATTGTACACACCCCTGTAACAGCATTTGATACAAGACCAGCTCTAAAAGTATGATATTTGCTATCATTTATATAGTATTTTATTATTTTCAAAGTCTATTATATTTGCAGTGCCCGTAACAGAAAAGACGTATTTACACTTGAAAGGGAAAAGAAGAGAAAATGATATTGTATTCGTCTCACGGAATAATAAATGTACTATGGTTTGCGAGCTTCTGTACGTGTATCAAGTTGTAATCTATTCGCACTGTTAGTGTTGTAACTACTTTGATAGTATCATTATTACCTTTGTAATTAGTGAGGCATTGTTGGCATTGCTGATAACAATGTTAGTATTGTACATCTAAGTAATGCTAGTATTGTAAGTTAATGCTTAGCATTGTTAGTAGTGTAGGTTTTTTGTCATGTTTAGGACTGTTAGTAATATATGATTTTGTAAGCTATGTATCTATGGTATTAAATTTAAAACAAATAGAAAAATGATCAACTAGGTATTCTCTTAGTATGCACGATTCTTACCTCAAAATCCGATCTGGTTCTTCCAGGCTTTTGAAACGACTTTCTGACAACTTCTTTTTGAAAGCTAAGGTTTTCGAGGTTGGCCTTCATTAACATGTCACACATTTCAAACGAGGGTCGAGAACTGGAAGGTTCTTTAACTTTCATTTGCAAGTCTTCAGTCGAGGCACCTGGAAAGAAAACCAAAACCAGAGATTCACGTTTCAGTCGATCTCAAGCCCTGTCGACGACGATAAGTTGAACGTTCGAATTTCGAAAACGCAGCTAAAATAATTTTCTACACAAGCAGACTCGAGGGTCAATTTACGGCTAACGGTTAGTCTCCTTCCGTTATGGTTGAAAGAAAAATTTTTAAGGTTAAGTATTTTTATGCTAACGGTTCAAATTTTCAAATTTTCACGCTTAACTGCTTGATCTCTTGGTGTTTTACGGCCAACGGTAAACCTCATCGGGACCCTCAGTCAGATCTAAACTTTCATGAACTGACCGTTTGTGAAGCACAAAAGGGATGAAGCAGGAAAGAGAACAGTTGGGAATATCAGCTCCCTCGCGCAAAAAAAGTTGGAGCTTTGTCCAAGTTCATTACAATATGTTTTTCAGGTACAGATTTGCGCTTGTTCACTGAAAAGCGCAAATCCAAATGAAATTAGCCAGGGTTCTGTCTTGTCCAGCCAGCTGATTTAAGTTAACCAGTGATAATTCTGAGGATTGGCTCCGTTAGGCACATCTTATCAGGCACGGTACTCCGAGACTGATTAAGAGAATAAACTCAAATTTAGTCAACTTACCAAAAGCAAACGCCTGAATGAAGATCAAACTCACAAGGACAAAGATCATCAAATCACAAGTCATTTTCATTTCGAATCGAATTTCTAAGACGTTTGGCTAAAATATTTCTAGGAGCTTTGGTACGAGCTCTTTACATAAACGAGCATAAGACGTGACAAGTTACAGCCACAACCACAACTGATAATATGAAAACTATATTTTCATTGTTTATCAGGCATTAGGTCATGATGAAGATGGCTAAATATTGGATTAGTAATTTTTTTCGGTTCAAATCAACAGAAAAACAATATCCCGCTTTATTACACGACTCGGGCAGTCAGAGGGCCAATAACTAAAATCAACCAATCAAAATGTTCTATTGCCGGTCAATATTCTCTCAGTATTGGACTGGGCACTGTCCCGAATGGTCCCGAATGATACCGCACTCGTGTCCCTTTGAACTTCAGTCGTATAATAAATCTCTTATTAACCAAGCTTGCTCGGGACCGTACTGGAAGAATATCGGCCCTCGGTCTTTTTTTTTATTGACCTCGCAGCGCTCGGTCCGTACTGTCCAGACCTCGGGCCGATATTCTCCCAGTACGGCCCTCGCGCTTGGTTAATAAGATATATGTAATGACCAAACGGTCCTCATCGTTGACCGCCTTCAGACTTACAGCAGCTGTGTTTTGTAACTCTATTGCAGTACATCTACTACCTTCTGGAGACCCTTTTTCTTGGTGAAAAAAAAAAAAAAAAAAAAAAAGGGAGAGAAGACATCCTTAGAAGTTACGAAGTGTGAAGCTTTTTTTTTAGTGCAAAATTAAATAAAGTAGGCAATCCCTAAAGGGCATGACATAACCTGACATACCAATACTGCCCGTTCACGTCACCAATCAGGGGACAGGATTTCCTTAGTTTTTCGTACTCGTCGAGCTAAATAACTTGATAGGGGAGACATAATGTGTAAGGAGTTTTTGTGGCGCCATTTTCAACTTCTCAATGGCAGAGATTGTTCTCATAAAAGAGATAAAAATAATCAGTAACATCACGAAAATCTTTCAGCTCGATTTGAGTGGGACGTTTCTTTGTCGTACTGACACTACTTTTAAGTCTAGCCTTTTCTTGGCATTTAGAAAGCAAATATGTAAATGATAAGATTTTGGTGAAGAACTAAAACAAAATAGAAAAGTTTGGGGACACTTGGGGGCTTCATGTGAGCAGCTTTGTTTCTGAGCAAAAGTACAATTAATATTGTTTTGATAATCAAGGTAACTACGAGTGCTTTCTATAATCATGATATTCACAAATATTCCTTGGATACTTTATATTATCGATTAAAAAAACTTCTAAACAGGAATAGTGCTTCATTTTCTTTGGATTGAAATAAAATGACGATCTACTCATAATAGAGGATTTTGTGATGCGTAATGCAGTGCTATGGGGGAATGGCACACAAATAAGTAGCCTGAGGGGACATTCGTTCCTTTGTATTGGGTTTTGCCTTATCGCAAGTGTGCCACACGACCACTTGCAACCATAGATCGCCAATTCAATGTCCGGCGTATGTTATCAAGTACCAAATGATCAGCGGAATTCAGTTGAAGCTCAAACAACAGAGTTTTAAATGGTTAAATAAGAGAATCTTGAAAACTCGTGAGGGAAATAATATTGAAATTCGTGACAACAAAAGTCATCACAACTCGACTAAAAACCATGACTTCTCCCACTCATTTCAACCGACGCCATTCAAACTGCTCTTGAGCAAAGCTCTTTCTGTGCTCTTGAAAGTGAACGTGGTCCTAAGGGCCATAAATATCAGATGCAAAAATGTGGGACTTAACTGTGGGGTTAGCCTGAGTTTTTAAAAATTGGACCGTGACGCCATGTTTCATGACTTCATGGTATAGACAAAACTGGCTATGGCCCGGACTTTCATTAACGCATTCATTCTTAAGTTCCCAGCACCACACCTTTTCTTGATATCTTTCATTCACCTAAAAGCATATCATGATTATATCGGGAAGCTGTAGAAGGCCGCCTATAGATGATTTAAAGCGTCCAGAAGGTGTTTGCATTTGAAAACCGGTATCATATACCAAGATGCAATTTACCCGCACTACTTCGTGCAGGTTTTCTCAACAAACATGTGATAATCAGTGTTATGTTTGCCACGCCTTAAGTTTAGGGCGAAAGTTCAATCATTCCATGGGAAATACCGATTAAAGGGTCAAAATCTATGGTCTATTGTAAGAGAGGAAAGGGGGAATCAGTGGCATATTCCTCTATGTTCCAGAAGCATTGGGCCGATTATAAAAGAGGTTTTAAACCTCAGACTTTCCTTGGGTGCTAGATAGAAAGCTGAGCTTTGATTGGATTGAAAACTACATAGCAATTAGGGAAAGACTTAGGAGGAAACTGCGTTATTATTGGTGAGAAAAGCCCTTTATGATGGGAGAAAACAGAACTCTAATTACAGGAACGACAGCGCTTGGATTAAGAGAATGTTGATCTTAATAGTTAATTAAGCAGAGAAACCGTTTTGGTTAGAGAAAGAACAGCGCATTGTCCACACACACATCAGTGAATTGGTTTATTGGGGCTAGGGTTAGGAGAATAGCGCTTGTTGTTGTTGCTGTTAATTTTGCTCTATTTGCACAGAGAACAACCCCAACGGTCACATGGAGAGGGAACAACGCTTAGGTTAAGCAGAAAACAGCGACTACTTTCTCCTTGCAACAGTGACTTGAATAGGCATAGAGCAGGCGGAGCGAAGTATTTTGGTATGGTAGAAACAGTGCCATGGACAGAAAGAGAAGAGCACTTTGTTTAAGTATAGAACACGGCTTTGATTAAAAAGAGAATAGTGGCGTGGATATAGGAAAACAAACTGTTCTATTCAGGCAGAGAACAGCACTTTGGTCAGGCAAAGAGCAGATCTTTCGTCACTCATAGACCATCTCCCAGGTTGAGCTTAGAGCAGCGCTTTGGCTGCGGAGAATGGTGCTTTTTTAGACAGAGGTGGTTAAATATAATTACGGCGCTTTAGTTCGGTAGAGAATAGCCCTTTGGTTAGTTATGGGAGAGCACTTTGGTCAAACAAAGAATAATGTTTTTTTTTTTTTAGGAAAACTGAGGTTTTTTCAAGGCAGAGAACAGCACTTTGCTTAGGCAGATAAAGCTAGATAACCACAAGATCGAGCTGCACCCGTTACGTTTCTTTCATCTCAGCACCATTCACTTTAAAATACAGCAAAAAGAACTTTTCAATTGATTCGCCAAAGCACGTCGAAATAAGTGAAGTCTCCTTTTCGGTTGACGTTTGCCTCTCAAACTCATCCATCTCTAGCATTACGTTTTATTGCTAAACATCAGTGCTTCTCTCGTAAATCCTTCTTATTGTATCACTGTTCATATTAGTCTCTTGTGAGAAAACTGTGAGTTTGTGTCGGTGATGAGTTAAGATAGTTTGAGAGGGTCTAAGTAGGTTATTGAGGGATAACTACTGTAATTTCTATTAGAGTCGCTCCCAAACAAGAACACCACACATCTTTTAATAAAGCAGTTGAGTTTTCGGATTGTACCAGTTTTCTGGTTGAATGATACCGTAACAACTGACTAAACAACCCAAAGGGTATTTTTTATCGTTATAAACAAAAACAAGCCCTTTCAATCCTAATTTTACAGTATTTTTTCCCCTACAATACAAAAAAATCCTCAGTTTTTGCATGACAGGGATATTAAGTATACTCCCTATTTACTTTTAATTTTCGATTGTTTATGATGCAGGCAAAATCAGACAAATAATCACGGATGCAATATTTAATAAGGGAACAGAATTCTATGACCAAATTCTATGATAAAAAGTCACGTGTTAATTGGATCTTTTATTGGTTGTCAAAATCATAACTGTTAGATATCGTCAGCCTATCCAAACGTGATATTAAGTGTGAAATTAATGCTTATGCAGAAACAGCATCCATAGCTAGATGCTGCGTCCCGTTTGGACACAGCTTTCTGACCGTCGTCTGAGTAACTCAGATCTCCCGGGAAGTGAATCTCAAGTCCCACCTTACACATCGGCATATTTGTTAGGCGCCTGTATTTCACATCCTTTTTGAACTGTTTTACCATATCTTCTCTCACCATGGCTGTCAAAGAAACAGAATAGAAAATCAGCATTAAAAGTAATGCATATTATATCTAATTCCTGACTACGTATAGTAGAAATTACTGTAAGTACATCTCTTTGGAATTCTTGGGTTTGAGTTTTTTATGGTTTTTCAAAATAGTATTTTAAAGCATTCTTTCCTTAATTTGTTATTCAGGTTAAAGGGGAGAGGTTTAGCTGCCGTACCTGGGAACAAGCGGCTCAATTCTTTTTCAACTTCCCACGCTTTCTGGCAAATGACATGTTTGTAGAAACGATGGATTTTCTAGAGGTAAAAAAAATTAATATAGTCAGTTTAACTAGAAACCTTTCACTTTCGCGGGTAAACTGTCTTGATTGTTTAATAAATAGTTCTGCTTTTATTTGTATATGTGGCGCGGATATATTTTTAAGTGCTCTACTGTACAAATAGGTAGGCCATAATGTATCACTTGCCTGGTATTCTTTTTTGCCACCTTCTACCTCAGCAATTTTGGTGATGACTTCCTTTTCGTAACCGCGTCCTGTGAGGTTTGCTTCCTTTAACTGTTTATGCATCTCTTTATTTGAGGCTCGGAAGTTGGGATCGAATAACCTCATTTCCAAGACTTCATCAACTCTTGTATCTGTATAATCGGATAGAGTATATAAACATGTCATTCCCCTGAATTTCAGTAGTATGTTTACCGCTATCCCTATCATTTGAAAAGGCACGAAACTGAATAAATCTGTTGAAGCTAAAGTAATGGATGTTTAAACCCACAATTTTCGGAGGAGTTCTGTAAAAAATGCCGCTGAAACCTGAAAACGGGAAGAATAAACCTTAGACCTACCAACACTGATGGATTGAAGGAAAATAAGGCTTGCGATAAATAAGACTGACTGAGCAAATATCTTCATCTCGAACCTCTCTTGACTTCGTCTGGTCTACCTCTTCTTGAATTCAAATGGATTTGCGCAATTACGTTGAAGAAATTGGCAATTTATAGCCAAGGATACAATAAGCTACTATTAATGTGAATAATTTTCAAAACATGAAAAAGCACGCGTGAACTGAAACTACGTACCTGATCATATTAACTGATTGACAAGTACAAATGTAATCAAAGGGGCAACGCGAAAAACAACTCTTTTGCTTAATTCAGCTTGACCCTTTCTTTTTTGGACAAACCATACTTATCATTGACTCAAACCGTAGGTTTGTTTTCATGTTAGAAAAAATAAAAATAAAATTAGCGCATCATAAAGAAACAGTCATTATAGTGCCATAGCTAACATAAACATATATCAAAAGCTAATTGGATAGCCATTTTCCTCGTAATGGAGGATTTGGAGGAACCCAGCTTCAGACTGCAGATCTTCCTTGCGAGGAACTGAGATCTTTCATCCAGTTCAATAGACAACATAATTCAAAGTTCAAAAAGGGAAGGGGGGGGCCAAGAAAATCACGCGTTCATTCCGGAAGAATTAACAAAAAAATAATTAACAAGAATTAAGAAATAAAGAAAGCTTTTTGACTCCTTCATCAGTTTTGGTCTATTCCTCGGGGCCAAAAATCGGTTAATGAAATTTTGAAGGTATATGATCGATTTGATCGTCGCTTTAATTATGCTCAGAGTTATTAGCAAATCATTGCATTATTACTTGAGGGTCACAGCACTGCCAACTTAGCCAGAATTTAACATACACTGTAAAAGACTTTGTAATCCAAAATTTTCTCCAAAAAGAATGACGAGATAAATGAAATTTTATCCTTCCTGCAGGCTGCATTTTGCTTGGAAGAAAGTTATAAAGAAAACACCATTTGTTAAGGGAGAGGTTCGTCGCACAAAGTCGAAACAGTAGCTACCTAGAATTCTTTACTTTGATATCTTCAAACCACCAGCCTGCCCTATAAGGAATATAACTACAAAAAAAACCGAAACAACTGAGAGGACGCTGAGAAAATAGAGCTAGTGTAATGCTCCTTGTTTAGCCAAAGAAAGGCGCTTTAGTAAACTTGATCAGAACATGTCATTTAGCTAAGCTCAAAACGATTCTTCGGATAGGAAGAAAACTGAACTTTTGTCAGTGAGGAAAACACAAGGACTTCGTTGGAAAGAGACTGAGCTGAGCTTTGATTAAGGCGATGATTGCGCTTATATCAGGAAGATAACCCCTGGTTCAAGGTTAGCACTGATCGGATAGAAAGAAAACTCTGCTTTGGGCAGGAGATCAAAACCTTTTTAGGAGAGAACTTCGCTCCAGCGAGGAAGAACTACAGTTTCATAACATTTACAGATGGGTTTTTGAAGGAACTGATGCCCTTTCTGATTACTACGAGAAGAGTGCGGTTAAAGGGTGAAAAAAGGGTTAGAACTTTTGCGCTTTCCCCAGAACACTAAAATAAAAGAAGCCATTTTGACGAGAATTTAGAGGAAAGTAATATAACTCGCCCGGCGGGGAATTTTCATCCAGTCAAACAAACCATGAGGTAAAAATAAAGCTCAGGTTGTGTGGGGAACAGAAAGGCAAAATGTTCAGTTAGAACGGAAATGTCTCAGGAAAGGAGGGAGGGTTTATTTTTCCTGAACAGAGAATTGAACTAAATTTAGAAACATATAAAAGCTGATAGTTTCGAAAGAAACTGTTTGGGGCTGCGTCGGTGGGAGTAACGAAATAATTTGGATATATCAACAAAGTTGAAATGGTAAATTGGCCACCGTAATGATTACAAAAGCTGACGTTTCGAGCGTTAGCCCTTCGTCGGAGCGAGCGTTAGCCCTCCGACGAAGGGCTAACGCTAGAAACGTCAGCTTTTGTAATCATTACGGTGGCCAATTTACCATTTCAACTTTGTTGATATATCCAAATTATAAATTTAGAAACAGTTCCCTGTTCACCTAAAAAGATAATGCTCTTTTATTTTTATTACTAATTTTTTGGTTGTGGTTAGGTAAAAAAAATACCTCAATCAGTGAAATCAAAATCAATGTTTGGCTCCCAAGAGGCAGATAATTTACGCCCATTTACGCAGATTTTAGATAAAGCGGTTGTTAAGCGATCATTCGATTTTAAAAACTGCATCGAAGAAAATTGACCAAATGAAGAGAAAAAAAATACAAAAAACTTGAACAATCCAAAGCTTTCATGGTGCCTACTCCTACAGATATGATTAGCGTTGCAACTATATTCTCTAAATTTTTTCGCCTAGTGCAAAGATCATTTTTGCTATTTTATAGGGCCTTCATCCTCTTCAATGGAAAGACTCGAAGCAGGTTGTCAGGGTCTCTTGCTTCAGATCCAAAGTGATATAATCAAAAAACAATCAGAATTCTATCGAAAAATGTAGTGACGATTGAGACCATGAATGGAACGTTTTAGACTCAGAAAGCGGGAGATAGAGAGGGAAAAAACTTGAGTTTCGTATGCACAAGTTGCAGCGGATGGCACGCCTCATCCAGGACATTGTACGTAGGCTTATCTTGATGTTCTCATTTTAACCGCAAATATGAAGTTACAATAGTTCATTGATCTCGGTTAAAAACGTGCTTTCATATAGCCCCGTCAAAACGCAGTTAGTCAGTTGGTTTTCGGTTAGGCAAGTTACACGTCAAGTTTTAGTAGCATAACTTGCCTCTATTTTGGAGTCGTCTTCGGTCGAGTACTAACATGCGGGACTGTTATGTAAGTTTTTAACCTTCTTCTCCAAACCTTTAACCTGCTCGTCAGTTTCTCTAGTTTTCTCGAACAAAACGATTTGATGTAGCTCTTCGTTTGTAAGTTTGCCACGTGTCTCGAGTTACGTTTCGCCTTGCCTACCCTAGTTTTGGTATATTTTTATCACATTGTTTTGAAGCTTAGCGTGCTAGATAGCCTCGATTGGCTCTTCTAGACTTAGAGTATTGTCCATTTTGTGATTTACGCCAGTTCAGGCCCCAATATACCTCGGGACACTTACAATGTACAAATTGTCTCGTCTTAATTCACCTATGTTAGAATCGAATCCTTTACTTTATTTGTTCAAGTTTAGTTTTACCCAAATTTAGAATCTCATCGTAATGGAATGATTGGAATGTTAAATGTTAGTCTCGAATGCATAAGATTAGCTTAGTTTTTGAGCTTGTATTTGTTTCAGTTTACGATATGACCTCGAGTCTTCGGTCGAATAAATTAATTTGATTCAAGTGTTTCTGTCCGTAAAATATATCCCCGTCTTGGTGTCGCATCCTTAGCGAGTAAGTCGTTGTATCGCTTTGGGTTCGATCGCTACACATGTCTTAACTGGCCTTCGAAGGGTGGTACGAGCTCTTTGCGACTTGAGACAGTAGAAAGATTGATAATAATGGAAAAAAATATTAAATTGATTGGCTAAAAGCTTTAACAGCACGTATCACCTTGAAAGCCATTGCCGTACCTGCCGATCCAGATCTAGAATACTTCAAAGGAAAGGATCCCTGCATGATAGAAGATACATATCCGTACAAAATTCTGCTTTCTTTGTGCAAACTGGTTGGACGATACGAAGACAACTCTTTTGCTAAAAATATCTGACAAAAGTTTCTCACACTTGGCAAGTTGTGGTTCTCGACGCTAATCATTGATCAACATCTTTGACATTTCAGAAACTAATTTGCTTATCGGATGATTAGCCCATGGATTTACCATCTTGTCTTTAACAGAGCGCGGATGGTTTCCCTGCCAGTCAACTAAAATGCTGATTATTGCGAAATTATTTTGCCTCAGAAATGTTTTGAAACAGGAAAAAAAATGTAATCGTATCTTTTCATCTACGTGGCTTCGACTTGGCTGTCTTTTTTTTTTTAACTGCCAATAGAGGAAGGCAAACAAAGTGAAATAAATATTTGTAAAGTATTGAAGCAGACGAATTTAGATTGGAGTAAGATGAAAAAAATATGATTTGCCATCCTGACAACAAATCGAACGGTCTAAAACATGGACGCACTTTACATCTACACACAGTTTGTCAGCACCTGTTTTGCCATAAATGCCCAAAATGCTCTGAGACTTCTCCTAGGTACGAGTTTTCGAGTAACGAGAAATTTAACCATGATAAACAGAGCTACAGGTACGTCAGTCAACAATAGAAAAGATGTTTTAATCAGCTGTGTCTACTGCCGGCAGAGTAAAGTAAATCGTTTACACCTTTCAACAATTGAACTGTCGCCCTTTCCTAGAAAAGAAATTTACTCACGTCTGTGGCCTAATGACATGTAAACTGAACACTAAGCGATATCAGAGGGCATTCCTGTGCGTAACTGAAGAAATAAAAGGCGGTTTTTGAAAATGAAGCCCAAACGAAATACGCCCGAAAATTAAAAATGGAGAAATTTCAGCCATTTTCAGTGTGTGTGGCCATCATTTAAAATGACTACACAGGCAATCAGCTAAGCACTTTTAAGATTCGGGGTAGACAGATCGTGACTACAACCTCTGAGTTGTTCTGTGACTGATTCCTCATTTCAGTCATTTGCTAAAATGCTTTTACTTCTTCTGGGACACATCGATAACAGTTTGTGATACATTAACACCATTCTGAGGTCTTAAAATTTTGCTATTCTTGCCTTTTTTTACATTGTATTTCTTTGGGTTAGATTTCCTTTTTTTTTTAAGGAGTATGCATTACAAACGGGGCATTTGGGGAACGATTCGGTTGTCATGATTTGATAGCGTTAGTGTTGTCTGGTGTTAGTTATGTAGTTGATCTGTCTCACGATCGATTTATGATTACGCAGTTTAATACGCTTCTTATGCAAAAAGGGAATGTACCTTTGTGAAAATCTAACGAACAGTTTATTGAATTTTTCAGAATCAGCAATTTACCTGATCGGCTTTTTCACGATTGTAACCACTAATCATTTTAACGACGGCGGATTTTTGCAGTGTAGCTTCAGGATAGTGAAAAAACAACTTTGGA